CCAGGTAATACATGTATGGAACATGGACTGCTCTGGTAGGTTTACCACGAGGATAAAGTAGTCTTAAGGGCCTTAATGACAATAATTTTTTCAGGAAAAATATCTGATGGTGTTAAGTCGATCAGAGGGTTTAAATAGAAGATCCACAAACAGATCCTAGGTATGACAATTGGTGGGTAACTATAGATAGTATAGCAAAACCCTTAATTAGACAATGACTAAAGTTGTAAGTGTGACCAAATATACTTTCGTTGATGTAACAAAGTCAAGAGGTGCCTATTCAGTATTCCAATAATTGAACTGAGAAATTAATAAATCATGCCAGACTCCCAAGTGGTCACCTTAATATTAAAAAAAAAAATAATAATTTTATTTTAATTTTGTAATTGTCAAATGACTGACTCTGGTATCCTGGGAATAGTCAATTGACAATCCCCAGGAGGGCTATAATGAGGTCTTAAATGTCAGCTCCCCAGGAATCTGATCACTGTTTCTGAAAAGTGGTGCCGGCAAAACCGAAATTGCAGGCTTTCGCTTTGCAGCACTTATATGAGTGTCGTCAAAGGAAAACCTACAACTCTAAAAATAGATTATTATGAAAATCATAATAATCTATTTTTAGAGTTGTAGGTTTTCCTTTGACGACCTCATATGCAGTAAAGTATTACGTATCAGTAATCACAAAAAAGCATTACGGCGAATTTATGAAATTAAGCTAAAATTCGGTCACTAAATCTGAGTATTTGGTCCCAATTTTAAATCTTAGTTACCAAATGACATAAATAAATCAATGTTAAACCCCGAAAAAGTTTGGACCTCTGATCTTGATTGATAACGCGTCTAACCCATCTTTCCCACGTGCTAACTCATCTTCCCACTTTTTACGTATCTTATTAGACATAGAAATTTATTATAATGACGCACCTTCACCCGGGGACAGTAGTTATTTCGGTCAAAATCATTATTGGTTACTTAGTGGTCAAAATTTTCAAATTTTGGGGTATTTCATAAATTCGCCGTAATGGATCCGAATGCCTTACTTTTAGGGGCAGTTGCGCCGTAAATCCTGTGACTGGAAAATTAGAAACGCAACACAAGTTTGGTTACGTAGATCATGAGGTTTGCCGGCAAAATCATGATAACCAGTCTCAATAAACAAACACGACAAGCGAAGAACTAGTACATGAAACTAAGAAAAAGGAGAGAAGAAACCTTCTCTCATAAAATAAGGAGTAAAAACTTGCATCCATTACAATAACCTAACATCATATTAATAAAAGTTCCTTCATTTAGACATTTCAATACGTTTGGGCTGTGGATTGAGAAAATTCATGGTTCAAAGCCTCTCGCGCTTTTTAAAATAAAAATTATAAAAGTCATAAATCAAATATTATTGCTAAATCACCGCGTCACGCCTCCGGCGAACTGCCTAATTTTCTTGTGCTATAAACTGTATTTTTTATCTGTTTCTTAGCTTCATATTAAAGTCCGCCGGTAACACTATTAAACGATTAAAGTTAGGATAATTTTATTAATACTGTATAAGTAATAGATATTTCATGAATAGCTGACCCGTTTTCGATGATTTTTGTTTTAAATGAATGCCATGAATGTTAAGCATTCGTTCAAGTCCAAAATTATCAAGAACGGATCAGCGGCACATCACTACGAACAATATTCGAGGATCCTGAGATTAAACGAATCTTGCTATTTATAGCAATTGTTTAAACCAATCGAAGAATAATTTAGCGACTACTTATCAATAAAGCACATAAGTGTGTACGTACTTACTTACCTATAAAAAAAAATTATTAGTTTTTCTTCAATTATAAAAATATAAATCTTTAATTTTCTGCCCGAACCTTTGATCAAAGAGGAATAGCCGATGTTTAATAAACTCGCTAGTCTTCATTTTAGTCCAGAAAAAGAGTTTCGTTCATTTAACGTTAGTATGAAATAAATAATTTTATTTTTAATAGTGGATCGTCAAAAATTTTTTTAATTTCCGTGCTTGATATGCACTTAATCTACTGGACATATATATGTAACTAAGTCTGCAAATTAAGTCGGCAAAGTTTAAATCGAATAATTTTCAAGTAGTTGCTTTCTTTTTTGTTTAGATACAATTACTAATTGATTTTTATATAATGTTGAAAACTATAAAACAGATTACCCCAAATAGTGATCATTGTAAAATCTCTGTATATTATATAAATTTCAAATGTTTTTTCTTTTGTCAGAGTCGAAACATGACATTTAGCATTAAGCACTTAACAATTGATAAAACAATTGGTTAATATTTTATTTTTTATTATAAGTACGTACTTGTTATTGGTCATGTTGTTGATGATAACTGATTATTCACTAGGATGCTGAGTAGTGATGCCGTAGACTCTTGGGTCATTGGGATAAGCTGTATCGTAACTAAGTTGACATGTCGAAAGATGCGTATGCGCCGTATATTCGATCATACCGTAACAGTTTTAGCGCCGTAGCTCAATTTTTATATGTCGTAACTCGTATAAACGTACTATACTTTATATCATAAAAATTTACATACATAAATACATAATACATATGTAAAGCCTGCATTAAGTAATTATTCCCTCCCTTCATGAAACATTCGTGCTATTAAGCTTGCCGGATTGTAATCATGATTTTCCGAAGTCCATCGTTGAGCCCTGTTATTCGAGGTCTTGCTTTGTTCAATGAATAAATTGTTATTACCAATGAAAGCCGGGTTGAAAGCTCGATAATTTCTTCAATTAATAAATTATTGTCATTTACTTTCATTGAGTTGCATATTGTTGGATTCGAAAATAGGATCGAACGAATCAGAAAATCCTTCAACTAGATACTTGATTCGCAAAGTGTTGCTATTAGATTCAGATACTAAGAGTGTGTCTTCTGATTAATATCGCTTGTATAAATAACTTTATTTTGGTTTGTAATGTCTTTGAACCCCTTCATTATTAAAAGATTTCGTTAAAAAATTTAAAAATAAATTATAATATTTTATGACGTAATTATTTAAAGTTATGCTATATTAAAAGTTATATATTTATCAGTACTATTTTTTTTTTTTTAATCTTCAAAGGTGAGGTTTATTAGTACTATTTACATGTAATTCATATTAAAAGTTATTAGATTTTATTTAAGTTACGTCACTGACTAAAGTTACGTAACTTATTATTAATGCGGATTTTGCAGCAACCGTAACCGTGATCGGTTGTAACTCAAAAAATTCATTGGGACGATTCTATGGTATCACTAATGCTGAGCAGGGCTTAAACGACCATATTGAAATGCCGGACATTCAAAAGTAGGAAACGGGAACCGTTGAAGTCCGGAGCCTAGATTTTTAAACTATTTTCTATTATTAATTTTACTTGAATTTCAAAA